TGGGGGTGTCGAACACGGAAGGGGCGGGGCGTCGTGGGGGCGGGGCGGGTGCGGCCGCCCGCTCCTGATCTCTCACTGGTGAGTTTCGTACAGACCCGCCCTGGTGGGACACTGGTCCGCCCCCCAGGCTCGACCCGACAACTCAGCGCAGCGGGGGATCAGCCAGGTGGGAGGTCTCCGAGGGGCGTCTGCGGGCTCCCCTTCTCCGTGACTGCGGGAATCAGGACGGGGCTCGAAGGGGACACTTTGGTTGAGCCTCCGTGTATGTGCCTCCATATCAGACTGAGAGCCTGGGCGGGAGCGCCAGAGGGCCAGCCCGGGAATGTACGGGTACCTCCCCCGCCCCAGGCCAGGGTCTTTTTCCTGCTGGGGACCCGCTAGGGGAGGCGGCTGCAGTCAGATCCCTAGGGAGGCAGGGAGCCCTGGGACAAGTTCAAGTTTTATATAGTCCCACTCGGAAACCACCCCCACGCGAACAACACACACACAGATGTTATTTTTGACCAACATATCACAGACCGGCTTTATGCGTCGTCCCCCGCTGTCCTGGGTCCCATCTCCCTCCCTTCTCAAGGATTTGCAACGGAAATATTTCTTCTCTCTCCTGCAGTTGCGGCTTCACCCTCTGGACCGAACTGAGCTCTGCAGTCTGCCACAAACCTGCTCCAGGCCAGTGGGTTCTCTCCTAGTTAACCTCAGGATAACCTGAGGGATAACCTCGCCTCCCTCCCTTCCCTCCCCCAAGGATATATAAGTCAAGTGAGTAGTGCAAGTGCAGAAGCAGATCCTGTCTTCATTTAAAATGTTATTTTATAGCCGGGCGTGGTGGCTCGCACCCGTGGTTCCAACTACTTGGAAGGCGAGGCAGAAGGATTACCTGAGCCCAGCAGGTCGAGGCTGCTATGGCCATGAGCGTGTCACTGCATTCCAGCCAGCCTGGGCGACGGAGTAAGACTCCGATTCAAAAAACAAAAAAAACCAGTTATTTTCACCGTGAGTTTTTAAAATTAATTTTGATTTTCAAAATATTGCATTAAAATATTTGTGAGATGAAATTATATAAAGCTCTAGGAGAAAACATAAGGTTAAATCTTCATGACCTTGGATTTGGCAATGAATTCTTAGATATAACAACACCAGGACAAGCAACAACAACAACAAAATAGATAAATTGTACTTCATCAAAATTAAAAACTTTGGGCGTGGTGGCTCACTCCTATACTCTCAGCACTTTGGGAGACTGAAGTGGGATCACCTGAGCCCAGTAGTTCGAGACCAGACTAGGCAACATAGCGAGACTCTCTCTACAAAAAAATTTTAAAATTAGGTGTAAAAATTAGCTGCTTATAGTCCCACCTACTCAGAAGTCTGAGGCGGGAGGATCACTTGAGCCCAGAAGGTCAAGGCTGGGATGAGCCTTGATTGTGCCATTGCACGATAGCCTAGGCAACAGAGTGAGACCCCAACTCAAAAAAAGAAGAAAAAAAAAAAAAGACTTTTCTGCATCAAAGAATACTCTCAAGAAGGTGAAAAGACAAACTACAAAAGGGAGTAACTATTTTCAGATCATATATTGGGTAAGAGTCTAGTATTCAGAACATATAAGGAATTCTCACAACTCAACAGCAAAATGGCAAACAGCCCAATTTAAAAATGGGCAAAGGATTTGAATTGACATATCTCCAGAGAAGTTCAACACTGAGCATAACATCTTGAAAGTTCATTCAAACTGCTGCAAATTAAAAGAAGCCAGACACGAAAGGTCATATACTATATGACCATATTTACATGGAATGTCCAGAATAGGCAGATCCAGAGACAGAAACTAGGTTGGTGGTGACCAGGGACTGTGGAGGATGGGAATGGGAAGTGATCACTAATAGATTTGAGGTTCCTATTAAGGTGATGAAATTTTCTTAGATAGAGATGGTTGCAAAACATTGTGAGCATAATAATTCCACTGAATTGTGCACTTTTATTTTATTTTTATTTATTTATTTTTTTGAGTTGGAGTCTCACCCTGTTGCCCAGACTGGAGTGCAGTGGCTGCTCCCAGCCACCACAGCCTCGACCTGCTGGGCTCCGGCGATCCTTCCGTCTCAGCCTTCCAAGTAGCTGGAACTACAGGCGCACACGACCACGCCTGGCTAATTTTTTTGATTTATTGTAGAGATGAGGTCTCGCCAAAGTTACCCAGGCAGGTCTCGAACCCACGGGCTCAGACAATCCACTCACCTCAGCCTCCCAAAGTATGAGATTACAGGCTGAGCCACCAAGCCCGGCTGAATTGTGCACTTTTAAATGGTTTTAGTAAACTTTACCTCAATACAAAAATATTATTTGTCTTCATTAATGAATATTTGTTGCCCCTGACCTTTAAATTTTGTGCCTGTGATAAGTGCCTTCTGGTTCCCCTCCTCTCCTCCCCCCAGCCCAGGGTAAACTGGTACCACCACTTTGGAGAAGAATCTGGCAGCACCTGGCTGGCAAAAGTGAAGATGCCCAAACCCCAGTCTCCAACATTCCACTCCCGCACAACAAAAAGGCCCGAAAAAGCCAAGAAAAAAACAAGGAAGGAAGCCTCCCACAGTGTCCATGAGCCAGGTCACCCTTCCAGGCACCTTCTCAAAGATACTACTGAATGGAGCAGGGGTGTCCAACCTTTTGGCTTCCCTGGGCTGCATCAAGTAAAGAGGACGTGTCTTGGATCACACATAAATTATCTAATATAGCTAGTGTATATACATAATAAGACTTAGTTTTTATTATAAAGTTTAAAAAAATGAGACCAATATAAAACTAGTGGGAAATTTGACCTTGTTTTTGTAAAACTAATCTATCAGTTTCTGGTTTGATGAAAGTGGTTGTAAGTGAGTTCTCAAGGTGCTAGTCGGAAATGTTTGTTCAAATTTTGCTCTTTGTGTGCTTCAGAATTGAAAATAGCTGCTCACAAATGTATATGCTACCAAAAAGCAATGTTATGAATAAGGCATGATTATGAACTTCAAAAATGGAAGTATGCATGGAGTCACAAAGAAAATAAACACTTAAAAAGCACATGATGTTAAAAGATTTTGTGGGGCTGCATTACTAGCTGTCCTGGGCTGCATGGTTGGACCTGCCTGGGGTAGAGTTTCAGAAACCATCAGGGAAAATGTTTTTGGAGACCACAGTAAGAGTCAGATATAATGTGGTATTTCCCCTCACCCCTTCTGAGTGGCAGGGCCTTCCTGGAGTTCCCCAGACCTGTACCCCTGGAGGCCTGGAGTCCAGAGGCTGGTGTTAGCTGATGACAGCAACACTGAGGGAGCAGAGAGCACAGGGGCTATAATGGGTAAGGCCATACTCCTGGCTGGTCAGCGTGAAGCATGCTCATGTGTTCTCTGGCCTAAATGTGGCCTTATTTAGGGAAAGGAGAAGCAGGGAGCAGGCCTTTGTCAAAGGGGTGTTTTGGAGGGCCAAAAATCTGCAAATCTGTAAGATGTCAAGGTTATCCCTAAGTGAGGAACCACAGATGAGAGACTCACAGTCTCACAGAGTGATCTTCTGAAGAGCCCAATCATGCCCTCCAAGAAAGAGTAAGTTTTGCAGGCAAGTACAGCCAGATGACATCAAGAACAAAGGTACAGGCCAAATAGGGCCCCCTCCCCATGACCTTCCTTTATCACTTCCGCCTTGGGGATCAGAGATGACCTGGAGAGAAGGCAAAGGCCAGAGTTGGAGAGAAGTTAATGCAGAATGAAGTCAGTTGGAGTTTTGACTATTACCTAAGCCATGTTAATTACTGCAAAACACTTTTTTAAACTAAAGGTGAGCAGAGAACTTTTTAGCCAAGGGGTGAGAAAGATTGAGGCTCACAGTGAGTCTGAATGAGCAGGGGATGGGGGAGAGGAGATGAAAATTCTTTTTCTTAAAATTTGAGATCTGTTTAGCCAACATTCTGGTTATATTCATGAGGGAACATCAGCGTGCTTGGCAACATCATTTGTATGGAAAACAACCTTGACCATCATCAATAAGAGAACAGATAAATTATAATATTCTGCCTCAGTAGACTACTATGCAGTTGTGAAAATGCATAAACTAAAGCTCCATGAATCAACATGAGGGATTCTCACAAATACAGTCTGTAGAAGGACATGTGCAATATGATGGCATTAAAAGTTCAGTAACATGCAAAACAATAAATTGCTAAGAAAACTGTCGCTAGGTGGTAAAACAATAAAGAAATGCATGAGAATAATAAAAACTAGAGCTGGTTAATGGTTACCCCTGGGAGGGTGCAAGGGATTCTCCCTTGAGGGGCCCACTAGGTTTGCAACCATACTGGATGCAATTTTTTACTGGAGTGTGGATACATGGATGTAAAGACCATCCATGTATCCACACTTCAACAAAAAATTGTACGTCTTAGATATATATATATAATTTTTTGAGTTGGAGTCTCACTCTGTCGCCCAGACTGGAGTACAGTGGCCGCTCCCGGCCACCGCAGCCTTGACCTGCTGGGCTCCGGCAATCCTTCCACCTCAGCCTTCCAAGTAGCTGGAGCTATAGTCACGCGCTACCACGCCCGGCTGATTTTTGATTTATTGTAGAGATGAGGTCTCGCCAAGTTGCTCAGGCGGGTCTCGAACCTGCGGGCTCAGGCAATCTACTCACCTCGGCCTCCCAAAGGCGTGGGATTACAGGCTGAGCCACCGAGCCTGGCTTCCACTCAAACTTTTGCCCCTACCACGCCACTCCCAGTGCTCTTGCCCAGTACACCAAAGACCTTCCTATTCCCAAATCCAAGGGCCATTTCTCCTACTTCATCTCCCCAACTTCAGCCACATCTGATATGCTGGATACATCCTGTTTCTGGAAACCTTCTTCCCGTAGCTTCCAGAACTCCATCCCCTGTCCAGCCCTACCGCCCCACTCTCCTCCTTCTCCATCTCCACCATTTACAGCTAGATCTTTAAACACTGGAGAGCTCCAGGCTCTATCCATTTCTCCTGGGTGCCTCCTTCCCACATGACCTTTGATAACCCCAATCTGAGTCTCTAGCTCTGTATTTTCCCTTGTTCTAGTCAGTTCTGGCTGCCATTACAAACTACCACAGCTCGGTGGCTTAAACAAACATTTATTTCTCACATTCTGGAACCTGGAAGTCCAAGATTAGGGTGACAGTGCCGTTGAGTTCTTGGTGAGGGCCTTCTTTCCTGGTTTGCACATGGCTGCCTTCTTATGCCTTCACATGCATGTGCACAGAGAGAGGGAGGATGTGGAAGAGGGGGGAGAGAGGGAGTTCTCTTCTTTTACAGCCACTAATCCCATCATGAGGGCCCCACCTTTGTAACCTAACCTTAGTCACCTTCCAAAGCCCCCACCTCCAAATACATTAACGCTGGCAATTCGGGCTTCAACTTTGGAAGGACACAAACATTCACCCCATGACACCCCGAATACCAGACTTAGATGGGGTAATCCACAAGAAACTGTTGACATGTCACCATGTTTGATCTATCAAAGCAGCAATTTCCTGAGGTCCAACCTAATACAGACCCCTTCCTGAACAGAACAAGTATGACATGACCAAAACAGAAGCAGAGTCATACTTGTTTGCTGTTTTTCATTTAACATCTCACATGGGTATGCACCTCTGCCTCCCAGGCTGGAGTGCAGTGGTGTGATCAAAGTTCACTGCAGCCTCAAACTGCTGGACTCAAGCTATCCTCCTGCCTCAGACTCCAGAGTAGCTGGAACTACAGGCATACACTACCACACCCTGCTATTATTATTATTATTATTTGTAGATACAAGGTCTAGCTATGTTGCCTGAGCTGGTCTTGAACTCCTGGCCTCAAGCGATCTTCCTGCCAGGACCACCAAAGTGCTACCCATTCTTTTTAAATGCACATGGAACATACACCAAGACAGATCACATGATGAGCTTTAAAACAAGTCTCAATAAATGTAAAAGGATAAAAATCATACAGAGTGTATTCTCTAACTGAAACAGAATTAAATTAGAAATTAATAACTACAAGATTTCTATGGAAATTCCAAATATCTGAAAATTAAACAACACACTTTAGAATAATTCATGGGTCAAAATTATGACACAAGGGACATTATAACTTTTTAATTGAAAGATAACAAAAATACAACAAATATGTGAGATACAGTTAAGCAGCGTGTAGCAGGAAATTTACAGCTTCAAATGCTTATACTACAACAGAAGAAAACCCTAAAGTCGGTGACCAAAGGTTTCAGCTGAAGAAACTAGAAGAAGGGCAAGGTAAACCTAGAATAAGAAACCCAAAGTCAGACCTCCCTGGGTATCTGGGGATCTCAGTTTCCTCTTGATTCTTCTAATGTTTTGTCATTCGTTTTCCCGAAGGAGTGGGATTCCTGCAAAGAGGCTTCTCGGTGAGTCTGTAAAGAAGCTGAATCGATCCCATTTAGCAATCCCTGATCCCGGGGCCTTTCACACACGTGGGAACAGAGAGGTGGGGAGTGCCCACCTGAAGCCCCCACTGCCAGCCTCGCCGCCCACCTCCAGTGCCCTAGCTGCGCTCTGGACCTCGCCGTCCCTGAGACACCCTCTGCCCCGCGGCCTTCCACGCCGGTGACCCCGCTGTCTCACCTGCCCTCGCGACCTCGCGACCCCACAGCCGTTGAAAGTGCCCCCCGCGGACTTCTCTGTGTCCTCTCAGCTTCTCATGCGCGGCGCCATGTGGCCAGGGCCCGCGCTTCTCCTCTTCCTGGGCCTGGCCCTGGCCCTGGGCCGCCTCCCGCCGCCCCCGGATCCCCTCGGGGTCCCGGCCGCCATCCCGGGGGCGCGGGCCTCGCCGTCGGGCGGCCTCCTCGGGGGCCCTGCCCGCCTCCTCCTGCGGCCCCGCGCGGCCCGGGAGGGTGGCGTCCGCCTGAGCGGTGGCCGCAACCTCTGCTTCTCCCAAAGAAAAGACAGGGACGGGAGCGGGTGAATCTTTTGAAAAAAAATTGTATAGACAGGGTCTAGTTATGTTGTCAGGCTGGTCTCCAATTCCTGGCTGGGTTCCTGCCACCCTGCTCACCTC